CAGTGGTGATGCTGTTAGGAAACCCTGCTGTAGACAAAGCTGAGGTTGGAAGGGAGTAGCAACTTGACCTGGCTCCCAGTGGCATTTTCGAGGACTGGAATATAAACCAGCCTCGCTTCTGCGTGATGCTGCACACAGGTAGCCATGGCGCCAGTGCCTCTTTATTGTCCCTGTACCACACGTGCTCTAGTTCCCAGCATGCATCCTCCATGTGAGGCACCTCCATGTCTGTGGTCCTTCTCAGTCGTTGGCAAATCTGGCCTTTTCCTCAAATGTGCAGAATCAGGCTCATCTGATTCAGGTTCTTTGCTCTAAACGTTGAAAATGTTATAACACACATCAGGGCATAGTTCCTCTGGTTTTTAATATTATGGGCAGATATAACATATAATAGCAGAATGCACAAATAAATAATGATGCTACCTAAATAACGAACTTGAAAGATGGCACATATATTACCCACTCTACTTTGATGAATAAATTATACAGATTTAATCTGACAGGTGTTTAATGATAAACATAATACCTTCTGTTCTGCAGGATAATTAGGGAGAAATGGTAAATAGCAGAATTACTTTTAAGGTGCCAATCAAAAATGTTAGTAGTATTCTTCTCTTACTATTAATTCTTAAATATCCTCAAGCTAAGTTTTGATGGTGTTTTTAGATACTGAGTATCTTTTAATAATTATCCCAAAGGCAGCTGTGCACATAAACACACAATCTGTGCATACATGTACACAGAAACTTGTGCACAGATGTGGGTAAGTGTACATGTCACACGTGTGTGTGTCAAAACACTTTTTGCTCAGCCCTGTGCTAGTCTAGACTGAGTTAAAGTTATGGATTCTGCTCCTGTTTACTGAGGTCTTTCTGTGTCTAAACCAACCCTACGTCATGGACCTAAGAATAATGGGTTAAATATGAACTCATATTTTGCGCATTAATACAACTACTGTGCAAACACTATGAACACTCTCCATGGAGGACCCTGAAACCAGATTATTTTTAGGAGAACTGGTGGCTATTTGGAGCTTCTGTAGAGAAAGTCTTTCGTCATCCCATCGCTCTCCATCACCCCTCCCTTCTCTGCCCCACACAACTACATCTTTCCTCCTCCATCACCTCTTTCCCATGACCTGTTCCAGACAAGAGAACTGCAGATCTGAAGTCTTCACTCTTCCTCAGAACTCACCTGGATTAAACATGCATCCTATATATATACATACATATATAAGCATGTGCACATATATGTTTATACATATACACACTTGCATGCATATACCCATTGGGTTTCTAATATGTGGGGCAATTCTAAGTGTTTGTCCAGGCAGATGCTGTGCTTACTGCTAATGCGGGGAGGAACCACCGGGAGGGGGGATGGAAGAGGGGAAGGGAGGGCACTAGTGTCTGTGGGTGGGCCTGACACTCAGGCAAGGAAAGAATTTGGCTCATTTGCTCTATTTTTGTTGGATTAGATCATTAGATAATATATATGGCCTAAGTCTTTGAGCCAAGTAAGTGATAAAGAGGGAAATATTTTTATTTCTTAGTGTGCTCAAAATCATAAACTTTTTTAACAGGAAAAGGACATCTACCTCAAACTAGGATCTTCATTCAGTGCAGCCTCCACTGCATTCTCTGAGCTAAATTTTCTCCTACAGCCCTCTTTCCTGGCCTAGAACACCTCCGGAAGCCCGGCCTGCCCTCCACCCAGCCCTGGCAGGCCCCTCGACCTGGCCTGAGGAGGTCCAGGAGACACATACAGGCTTCGCCTGGCAACAGTTCTCCATTTTAATGAGTCTCTTTTGCCCATAAGACTCTCTCTCTCTCTCTTTTTTTAAGTTTCTGACTCATGCCAGGCTAATTTATTTGGCTTTTTTGGTTTAATGAACACCCAGGTTTTTTTAAACCCACTTAGGACTGTTTTTCTGCCTAATTCTAAAAGCCTGGATTTTTGTCCACAATTATTCCCCACCCTGACTGGCTCACTGCTCCCATTTTCTCTTGTAGCCTTCATCTTCCCAACACCTACAGCCCTTGTCAGTTTGCTTCCTAGTGCGCGCACCCACATGCACACACTCAAACACATAGATACACACATGCGGATACACAAAGGAACACTGGTACACACATTTACATTGATGAGATCCTGGACAAGTGACCCTTACAATGCTGGAGGTTGAAGGTTTGATTATTTCAATTAATACAAGTAAGACAAAGGAGGGGAAGCCTTTCTGAAATGTTATGTGAAAAGTCTATTTCCTCTTCAATTCTGTCTCTTCTGCAGTTCTTTTGTTTTCTTTCCTCAAAGACTTTTGCTTCAAATCAAAGGTCCTCTAAGGATTTGTTTTTCATCTAAGACTAAACTACTGGCTCCTGATTGGGTGGAATTGTGACTTATGGAGTGTGAGAAGAAAGAATTTTCAGTGAAAATTAATTTGCTTTTCTGCCTCTCCTGGGATGACTTAAATATCATAAACATTTTCAGTCTCAAGTTTTGAAATCAGCAGACTTTCACTTTCATTCATTAACCCAAGGGTCCACATGTTATCCCTTTGGGGGAGGCCCAGAGAGAAAAGAGGTGTGTGGGAATCAGCTCCTCTGAGTATCCCTGGGGAGGACAACATGCTCAGAGTCTGCCATTGCTGAAGGTGCCCAGGAGGTGCCTGCCTTCCTCCAGGCGTGTCAGGGCAAGGAGTCTGCCCCCAAGGGGCTGCCCTGGGGCTTTCCCTGCCAGAGGGACCACCCATCCCTCCGCAGTGCTGCCTTGCACTATCATTGCCCTTACTCCATGTCCCTGTGTCATGAGAACATGGTGCCCCGCTATTCCGGTGACACTCTTCATCACGAATCTCCCCATTTCACAGTAGGATATCACTGTTATTTTGATGCCATACCAGGTTTTTGTTTCAAATCCAGCTCTCGACAGACAGTTTTAGATGAACCAGAGAAAATTTGTATAGCCAGCAAAATACCTTTCTCTGGGGATGTTTTGTGCTTTGAGTACATTTAAACACAGTGAGGTAACATTCATGGACTCATAGAGACCTGGAGAGAGAAAGCAACTCCAGAGACATCCCATCCATCACCATGACGCCAGGCAGGCTTCACCTACACCACCCCAGACATAGGTAAATATCCTGTTCTCACAGGTCATCAGGAAAAGAGACTCCACAGCGCTCCTGGGTAACCCATTCCAGTGCTGACTTCCCTTCAACGATGTTGTTGTATTTGTATTACAGGGAAATGTCCCCTACTCAACCGCTGTGAGCTTCAGAAACACAAAATTGTATATTTTGAACCACATGTCACACAGCAGCCTGACTGTCAGCACACTGTTTAGCTGGTATTGAAAATGCCATTTTAAACCATGTACATCTACCCCTGGGCTTGGACCTAACCGGACAGCTCTAATTTTACAGTCAATGCCTGACCATTCATTCCCTGAGGACTCTCTTCCTCTTGAACGTGGCCCTAATTAGATGGTGAGGTTCTGCAGGGGTGCCTTTGTCTTCCTGCTCCCAGGAATCTCAGCCATCAGATCCCTTTCTTTAATTCGTGTTAGTAGAACTGCTGTAAAAAGCAAAGAGCTATTTCACGGAGGTTGTTTGCCAGACACTCGCAAGGCTTTCTGACACTTAGTTTGTTCCTTAGGTTTTTAGGAACTGCAATTCCAAGGAGTCCTTTCCCCGGCTTCCCCGCTCCGCGATGCAATGCAGGAAACCCCAGTATGCTCTCCAAGAGGTCCAGTTACATTTTGGCCTAAGATAATCCACAGAGCCTTTGCAGTTAGAAGCAAAATAGCCATCTCCCTTTCTTTCAGCTGTTTCCCTTGGCAAAGCGGAAAGTCCTAAGGCACCGGATTGGCCAGGAAAGCCCTGACCAAGAGCTGGTAGGAACCTCAGACAGGACGCAGCCCGATGAGTTGCAGTGTGCGCCGTCATTGTCTGGGATGGAGGGTCTGAAATTGACACCATATGCGCCCGGAGGAGTAATTGCTCCAAGGGGGGAGAAAAGCAACATGTCAGAACATTTTAGTAACACCTAATTCATCCTGGGGTTATAAATAAGTCTGATTTTTGCTTAAAAACAAAAGTCGAAAAAATACTTTGACTAGACTAACTTTTGTGACAGTGCTTCCGCTGAAGGTGAGCTTTATTAGGGAGACAACACAAGTAAAGAGAAACACGTAACAACTTTTTTATGGTTTATTTTATGTGATTTTATTTTTTTGCAGTAAATAAAGTGGTTATAGGGCTCCAAGGAAAAGGGCCCAGATGTTAGGGAGTTGTGTGACATTTAGGGGAAACAAGCTGTAAAATGTGGAGTCATAAAACAGGCTGTCAGTGCCACACATCTGGACAATACAGCTGTATGTTCCTAGTGCTGTCGTCACCCAAAGAAAACTCAATAACCTTATTTCACCCCAATTAGGCTGCATACCAACAGGATCAACATTAAATTGCAAGCGGGGAGGGACGCAACATTCACATGGCGCCTCTGTCATCTTTTATCTTTCATTCCAATTTGGTCACTCAAAAATAAATAACTGCTCACGTAGCCATCCCCATTATTATAAAACCCTGTTTAATTTATAACATACTAATAAGTCAGAGTTTGACGGTTCAGACTGTTTGCTATGCCAGACAACAGACTTTCTGTAGCTGAACCTGACCTACCTGGTACGCTGTTACGAGCCCTGCCTACCTTTCCTCTGCCCATTTTGGAGAGTTTGAGTCTAGCCCTATTGGGGGAAGCTCCCCCTGCCCTGTTGGGAAAAGAAATTAATTTTCAGACAACCCAATTTAGTTGGAGGATAAATGCCCCTCTCTATGGCATTGATGCATTTTTCCCCTAATTTTTTTGGCCAGCAATGAGGCACCTTTGCAGTAAGGCAAATATTACAACACCAAAATACCATTTCATCTTTTCATCACTGACAGCTTATGCCATAGGCTATGAAATGCCACCTTTTCTAATAATTGTGTTTCTTCACAGGTGTTAGTAGCAGCAAAACTCATTATGGGCAATGGAGAGAAACTAACCTTACCACTGATAGGGAAACTCTTGAAATTTCAACTTCTCCAGATTAAACTTAAGGACCAACAGCGACGGGAAAATGAAAAGAAGGTACTGTACCCTGGTGGGTTTTCTAAAGACAGCAAGCAGCGAGTGAAATGGGCCAGGTTTCCCCAGGGTGTCTCTCTCTCTCTCTCTTTCTCTCTCTCTCTCTCTCTCTCTCTCTCTCTCTCTCTCTCTCTCTCTCTCTCTTTCTCTCTCTCCCCTTTCATTAGAGACAGAGAGAAATTTCATTGTTGGTTGCCTCCCGCCTGTGCCCTGACTAGGGCAAGGATCGACCTTGCAACTGAGATGAGTGCCCTTGACTAGAACCAAACCCTGGACCCTTCAGTGTATGGGCTGATGCTCTGTCCACTGACCAAAACCAGCTAGGGCCACGTGTCCTCTCTTCACAAGCCGACCATTGTCACCTAGCACATTTAGCTGTTTATCTCAGCTTCTTAGAGAAAAGGCTGCACAAGGCTCTATCGGAGAAATTATATTTCCTCAAAGGCAAACCCATTAAAAATAAGTTCCCTTATTTAGGAATATGACAGTATCCAGGGCCTGTGCCTGAAATCATTTGTATGGCACTCTATTTATATCTAGTGACAAAGAGGGGGACCAAAAAGAGACAGAGAGTCAGGAGAAGTAAATATAAAAAACTGAAAAACCAGCGAAATCAGGGTCCTATCTAAAATTTACCACATGATACTCAACAGGAGTATCTATTAAATAATCGGCTACATCTGTACCTTCATAATAATCTGAATATTTCAGCAGCAATCCATCACTTCTGTTTCCATATTATACGTCTGATTATTTCTTCACATGTAGACTTTTCATTTAATTAGCCTTTGGAAGTCAATTTGTGTGTTTTCCAAAGATTCATCTTTTCATCTGAAAAATATTTTAAAATACTTTTAGTAAAGTAATGCCAGGTTCAAATCCATTTGCTATTATCATTACTCAAAATAAGAGATGTTTTTCTTATTTTTTAAATCATGCTGAAATATTTTGGGAAGATCAGATGCTCCTGTATGTACATATATAACATGTGCCTGTGTGTATGTTTGAAATGGATTTACATATTTGTTGTCCTTTTATGTCCCTAAAAGGAAGAGGTAAAATCAATTCATGTAAGAAGACAAAGTGACCATGTGCCAATAATACCTTCTTCACTTTGGCAAGACCCTCAAATCCAGGTCTCCTACTTTAATTGGTCTCTTGACAGGATAATTGTAGAACAAAAAATAATGCCGCCGTATATTTGTAATGTTGGGCTTTATGTTTTTCAAAGAGATTTCTCATATAGCATCTTATTAACGTGGCACATATTGTCCTCAGGAAATTTCTACTCATATGAGCACAGGCGATGGTCTAGTTTTCCACCTATTGAAGCATTTTCCATCACGTACAGGAGACTTATACCTTAAATACTCAGAGACGTTGGGACTTGGCAGAAGAAAAATTGGAAAATTTGAAACTATAGAAACATCTTTTCTTGCCTTTTTAAATTCCAGTGTCACATGGGAATCTGAATTAGAAAAAATAGACTGTGCGTCCTGGAACATTCCTGCACCTTCTGTTTGCTTTGTGCCTTTTCATAGCACCTACAAATAGATCTAACAGGCTAAAGAGTGTCCGTGTACTTACTTGTTTGCCACCTATTTTAAGCTAGTAATTGTTTTTAATAGGAATAGATTTTAAACTTAAGTTAACAGGTTTGAAGTAACAATAAATGGAATATCCTGAAAGCTCAAGAAATGTTTTTAAAGCTAGCCAGGAGCAATGACATAAAAATATTTCTGAACTGTTATTTTGCTCAGCATTTCTTTGAAACGTGAACTATAATAATATAGTTATGAAATTTTGAAGATATGGAGATAATCTTAATTTGTTGAAAATTCAAGAGTCCTTAGGAATTTGGGGCTTGAATTTTAGATTTATTTACATATTATATATAAGTAATAGATGCTTAAGAGAACTCTGAGCAATTAAGAGCCAACAATTACACAATCTGATTTGATGTCTTCATTAGATCGGGTTCCCAAAATACCAGCCCCAAATCCTCGTGTTGCAACCATATGAGTAAGTGATGAAACCTGATTGGAATGGAATACTTTCCTTTACTCTTGGTAAAGGCAAGTTTAAGGGTTTTTTTGAGGGATGATATAATCTACGTTCATTTCAGCAATACTGCCTAACAGGTCAGTCGGGACAATTGAGGTTAATGTTTGTCAGCCAGGGAGTTTGGCAGAAAGCAAAATAAATATAAAGTATGTAAAACTAACACCATGCTGTGGATTAGAAATTGAAAAACAGAAAAGAGGGCTTTACCCAATTTTCTTCTCTTTCCTAAACCCAGGGTAAGATTCTGAAATTCCTACAGAGGAGTGTGTGTCTCTTCAGGTTTTTAACTTCAATGTGAAATCTATGTAGATGTTTTCTTTCAAATGCTAATTATATTACTTACATCTGTACATTTTCTGAAAAATTTTTAAATGAAGGTTTAAAATATCTCCAGAACAATAATTATAGAAAATATTAGGGGAAAGCTGTGGGCAAAATTTAATATAATTCAGATCCTGTTCTTTACCCCCAAAGAAACAGATATAATGTATCAATATATTTGATCCTGTTTTATTAAATCTTTTCTTAAAAGTAAATGGTAAATAATATATTTTCAATTGCCAGGTACAGTAAAAACTAATTTTTTTGATTCCACTAATTTTAATTTATAACACTTTAGTCTGGGCTCTGCTTAACATCTCATTGGCTTTGACCATGAAGGAAGTTTGCTGGCTAATGAGCAGTATAAAAAAATAATAGAAGAGAAGATAGTTCTTAGAAGTAGAAGTACAGTTTTGAAGCCTTTAGCACATGAATTTCTGGGAGGCAATCCTTGCCTCTAACTGCAAATAAGTTGAATATATTTGAAAACTTTATCTATTTAGAAATAAACTTATTGATTACTTCTGTATGAATACCATGAAGGAAATATATATACTGTATTTCTTTAAATATATTTTAGCATTTCAGAACTTCTGAATATGACTCTTTTACAATTGATCTCAAACTATATTTTATTGTATCTTAAAATGTGAGTAAGTATGTTTTGCTTAGAAATAAATTTTCCCATCACAGCATTATCTCAGCATTTATTCTGCATTTTTAGTTCTTATCAATCTGTTGTTAATTAACACACATTTATTGAAACAAATATTTAGAAAACATTGTAGTGGGAATATATATATTTTCATAATGTTCTTTATAATTTTAAAATAAATTACTTGGTTTCCATTCTGAAATCTGTTTTCATTTAGCCATTATCTGAATATGATAGCATCATTAACAATTTTACTTCTTTTTAATTCTAACTTTTCTGTTATATATTAATTATAAACATTTATTTAAAGCTAAAATACTTCATTGTGATTCAAACTATATTAAGAATTTAACCAACAGAAAATATTTAATCATCAAAAAATACATGAAAAATGGCTATAATACAAAAAATTAACAATTTAATTAGTCAAACTAAATCTAGTTTTCTGTGCCTTGGAGTTGAGTCAAGTTCAGAATATTTGAATAGAGTTTTGGAAAAACAACAAATATATTCTAGTTGTGCTTTTAATTTGTGTATTCAAATAACCAGCCCATATTTTCTTGGATATTTTTAGCATCTTTTTATATAAAAGCAAAACAGTTCTTTCTGGCTTATATACTTAGTACAAGTTGCCTTATTTCCCGATGTACTAGGATGAAGAGAAAATATATATACATGAAAGAACTATGGAGAGAGAGTGTTGGTAAACTTTTCTTAAGACAACTCAAAATTTAAAGCATGTGAATTTGATAAGATGTGACGATAAAGCCTCAGACAGCCCGAGCCTGCTCATAACAGCGACAGAGAAATGGGTCACTTTCACACACATTTTCCAGCTTGCTCCAGCTGAAACCCTGAAGCACTGGAAACCAGCCAATGTAATGCCATTGTGTGTGTGTGTGTGTGTGTGTGTGTGTGTGTGTGTGTGTGTGTGTTTGCTTTAAAAGAAAGACCATAGGGACATACCAGGAAATTATAGGCTGGTTAGTTTTGATTTAGTTGTGGTTAAAATATACAGAAACTATTTCAAGAAATCAAACAGAGGAAGAGCAGGAACTTGGTTTAGAGGGACCCTGCGGATTTAGGGAAGGCGTAACTTGCCTCACTGGCTCGGTGGAATTCTTTAAGGCTGGTTATTGAAATGGGGATACTACCATCAAAACTGGGATCTAAAAAGCTGCAAAATCCAACAATTCATGACAAGTGACTCACTGACTGGCAATTCTGTAAAATAAAAGTGCTTTGCAAATTGGGATCCTTTAATTAATAAAAAACATTTTATAGACTTCATGAAAAATGTGCAGAAACACATATTTAAAAATGAGCAGTATTTAAAAATACAAATAGCTACAATTACAGCAGCTAATAATTGACTATTCGGCACTATACTAAGCTCTTCACACAAGCTATATAATTTAATTTCTTAAAACGATTTTATGAAGTACAGAGTAGTATTCCCAGTTTGCAGATGGGGAAACTGAGGGTGTGAAAAGTTAGGTAACTTTCCCAAGGCTGAATAGCTGCTCAGAGGTGGAGCTGGAATTCAAATCCAAAACTCAAACTTTAAAGACCATGCTCTTACCACTCTACATACTCCTCCCCAGTGTGTCTTGATATTAATGCAGAGTGGCTGTCTTGGCTCAAAACCAGTAGAGTGCCTGCCAGAGATATTTCCCTATGACAGCAAAGGCTCTATTCAGTGATCTGCCAACAGCCAGCTGGTCGCACTAATTGCATGCATACAGCATCCCAAGGTTAAGTGCAGAGTCAGGTCATGGAAAGTAACTAAGCTCAGCAAAGACAAAGACCACTGAGCTAACTGACCACCAATTCCAAGGGAATCCTGACTTCATTTCCAGTCCTGTCCCCACCCAGAAATGACCTGGTCTCTGTGGGAATCTCTTAGAACTAGACTTCCTGAATTATTCTAAACATTCTTGCCCCTTCTCTCTACCCTTCTGGATATTGAGGTAAAACGGTGATGTTCAACTGGTGTGCCACAAGAATGTTTAAAACATGCAATACCTAACTGCTTAGTCAGGGGCACTGACCTCTTTTCCCTTAGATTGTCACATAAAATAATGACAATAGCCAACATGACAATAGCTGTCTGGTGTGAATGAATCAAAATAAGTTTTTGGTCAGATTGGGAAAAAATGTATTTTTTGGTGTGCCACAGAATTTTGGTAATCATTTTATGTGTGCCATGCGATGAAAAAGGTTGAAAATTGCTGAGGGATAATAACATTGGCTGATCTTGTTGCTAAAGCTCTGAATCTCATAGAGTCCTACAGGAGACAGACATTAGACATCAGACCCACCACCTCACCACCACTACTGCAGGCTCCTAACTCAGTCCCATCCATTATATTTCCTGTTTGTCAGGAAAGTGAGGAGGAGAGCAGAGGGCAAAGAATAAATATAAAATACAGAAACGGAAAAAAGAAATGTTCATAATGCCATAACCAATCAACAACTTGGTATAGTCTTTTGTCCTTTCTGTGGATTAGTTTCTTTATATAGCTGCAATCATAGTAAAAAGAAATTATTCAGCTTTTTAAAAATTAATATATTTTTTACTCCTTACCACACAGCATTCTGTATTAATTTACTGCTTGTATAATATTCTATGGACTGCCATAATTTTCTTAATCATTCCTCTATTGTTGAGCACTTCAATTATTTCCATATTTTTTCAAAAAAAACAATGTTTTGATGAACAACTTTGTAGTATAGAATTCTTGATTTTTTAAAATAATTTCCTTAGAATAGGTTTATAGAAATTGATTAATTGAGCCCCTAAATGTCCCCATAACCTTGTGATTCCAAAACAGGTTCTAGATCCATTTAGACTCTGTTCTCCATTTTTTTAAAAAATAGTTCTCTGGTCAAATGAACTTGGAAATTACTGTGTTAAGTTTTGGAGATTTCATAGCACATTAGCTTATTACAAATGGGCAGTTTCAGGAAAATAAGTCTGTTTAGTCTGTCTTTCAAACTTATTTGACACCATACATTTCTTTCAGCCCATCTCTTGTCCTCTCACCTGTGACTAGTAGAATAGATTGTTTATAAAGTAGAGTGATATCTTGACAGAGAATCAGAGTAGCATTCAGGACACAGAGCCAGTTTCTCATAAGCCACATAATGACGGAATGGCTTAGTCACATAACCTCCATGAGTATGGTCTTTACCTACGTCCTTAATAATATTTGGTGGGAATCTTATGATAGAACATATAAGACACACACACACAAAATTATATACAAATATGAAGAAGCACTATTAACCAAAATAATAAGATGAAGTTGAGTGATTTACCAATAGTTCCACTGGCTTTTACCTTCCATTCATTGTGAGGAATAACAGAACAAATACATCAAGGAGTCATTTAGAATAAAATACAACCTAAAATATTTGAAGTATCAAATAACTACGCTGCCATGTTTCAGACAGGGAGAATTTGTATTTTTTCCCTTTAAAAAGTGAGACTAACAAGATTAAGAATTTTTAAATAGGTGTCACTTGATACTCAACTGAGTACATCAAATGTTCATACTATTTTTGGTTGTTGCTAAGACAAGAACTCACCATCTGCTATGTAGCTTAACTGGTTAAGAAATCCCTGTGCCTATCCAAGGCCTTCTCACAGTAGGAGACACCCAGATGCTTTTTGTACACGTCACATTTTAAATAAAATGTACTTTGTAATGAACTTGAGTCTCCCTTCATATGCTGAGAAACATGTGTTCCCTAAACATAGTGGAAAGAGGGTCCTTTTGGATACACCCTCTGATATTTTTGTCTTGAATTGGCAAGAGTTTGCCTCTGAGTTCTTCAAGTTGTGAGCAGATCACCATAGAATAAATAGGAGTATGCATGCTATGTTAGCCAGCAGTGAAGAGGGTCAAAGAAGAAGGGTAAACAAATAGTAGCATATGATTTAGGAGGGACCAACTTTCTGAATACTCCGCTATTCAGGCTCCCTTTGCCCTAACCTGCCCCTAAATTGCAAAGCATAAGCTCATATGTCCTGGAGGGGCTTATTCAGAATGAGAGAGAGCTGAGGAAAAGGAGAGGAGATGGGATGTGACCTTTGTGTGCTCGGAGCTTGGTAATAAAAGGATGCTTTACCTTTGGACCAAAGTAGAATTCTAGAGGTTAACAGTCAATCATTGTCCAGAACCCGAGGGTCAAAGGGACTGTCCTGGTTCAGTTCTCAAGTATGGGGGGCAAGAGGAATAAGGAACACAAGTAGGAAGACCGCCACTGGAGTCAGCCCTGGGGGAGAAAAAGGGATTGGGTAGAGCAAAGAACATGCTCCGAAATCTCCCAACGGCTTCTCTGTCTGAACCTGGCTCCTGGGAAGACAAGGTGCCTCCCTTTGCTTCTGTTTCTACCATACAGTGTCTGCACCGGGCCTTCTCACAGCAGAACAGTCCAGATGCTACCATGCAGTGCAGATATAACTGCTCTACCTGGGAAATCCTTTACAGAGTGAAATCCTGCCAACTGAAGATGCATCATTGTTAATGGAAAACACAGAACACTGAATTGTATAGAGAAAACAGTAACGATTATATAAAAATGATGCATAAACATAATTTAAAGAATGCATTAAATATCATCTTCCACTCATTTTCTCTGGATGATGGAATTATGGTGATTTTTGTAAATTCTGTATATCTTTCCCAAATTTTCAGGAATGATATTTTTTATAATTTAAAAAAGTTATTTAAAGAAGTGAATCAACATTTATAGATATTTTAAAAATACTTTTGTGAAGGAGGGAGGTAAATATTGATACAGTCTCCTAGCACCCACCCCTCCGCTCTTCGTGCATAGATGTGCCTCATCACCACTTAGGCTCAGCCAGATCTCCACCATCCTGGCCTGAAGATTGAATAGATGAGTAGACAGTGATTAACTGAAATAAACTTAGTCCACCTGACAGTAGAAAAACCATTTCTTGCTCACTGTATGATTTGGAAGAAAAAATGTTCTCTCTTTTCAGGCCATAGAAGACAGATTTAAGTTAGAAAAGGAGGAAGGGAAAGCGAAAACTCCCAAGGAAAAGAAGGCCGCAGATGCCAAAGCTGCCAAAGGAAAGGGGAAGGACCAGCCTGAGGCAAGCACAACAGTGAAAAAGAACACCCAGTTAAAACGGAGGGGAGAGGAAGATGGGATCAAAGTTTACATCGGTCAGTAAGCTGCTCCTTGTGTTGGTTGCCTTTCACTTCTTGCCTTATCACCTACTGAGAGCAATTCCCCAGCCTTTTCACTGTTTATAAAACCATAAATCACATACTACCCATCACCCCCCGTAGAAAAATAGTTCTATTTGCAATTCATTTATGTTTTCAGCAAATATTTATTTAGCATCTGTCTTGCTATGGGCACATTTACATAATACACATAAAGAATGAAATAATGAGCGAGCTGTTGTGGCACTGGGGAGCTTACTATCTTGTTGGGAACGTCTTTTAAAAGGCAGACATAATTATAAAGCAAAGTAAAAAGTGGTTATTGTCATGAGTGAAATACAGTGGTAAAAAAATTAGACCAGTTACTGTGAGACTCAGAGCTTCCTGGCCTCAACTTCTCCAACTATCATTGTGTCTTAGAGAAACTTGAAGTTTCTTCCTTTTTAGATTGTTGGTATAGAAATGATTTCAATTAGATAGCTATGAGCAATTCATTGCCACCTTCCCCTGAGTCCAAATGGAGCTACCTGTTGTTATTTGCATAGCATGTAAATGAGATGGCAGGCCTTCCCATCCCTCACCCCATGTCTATCTCTGCTCAAAATGCATTAACTAGGCTTAGAAGCACTGACATTATGGATTCCATGGGAAATATCAATGCTGATTTGTTTAGGGATAGAATAAAAATCATTACCTGAGAGTTAAAAGTGTGTGCACCTATTGCACTATTTAAAATTGATCTTAGTGGGATATTGTGGGATATAACGTTTTCAGTTACCATCCACTCTCAATTGCTGTCTAACCCACACTCAGCATTCACACCTATTGGCATAAATACCCGGAATACTTTGGTAGGGGGCATGTCCATATTCAATATTTCCCTCTCCTGTAAACACCTCTCCTTATAAAATACCACAAAGCTGCAGCTACTCGTAATTCAGGAGTAAATCCAGATGTTGCTCAAAAGAGATTAGAAACAAAAAAAAAATCACAGCCTAAACTTTGTGGGTTTTTTAAAACAAAATCCTAAGCACACATTTTCCATGACCACAGGCCCTGTGTATGTTTGTCCTCCTATTACGCCTATGTCTCATTTGCAAAAGTGATTTAATATTTTGTAAAATGGCTTCAGCCTTCTTACTGGAAGGGCAGTAATGAGAACCAGTTAGGACTGCATTCCAGCCAGCTGGACTGATTTTGGCAAGCCAGGGGATTGTAAACGCATACATAATGTACACAGCCATGGAACTGGCTGAGTGCAACCTGTTCTTTTAAAGTGACACCTCCTTTTCTTTCTGGTATTGTGGACAGATGACGAGCCAGATGATGGTGCCCAACATTACATTATAGTTGTGGGCTTCAACAATCCTCAGCTATTAGCGATCATGACTGAACTCGGCGTTCCCATAAGCAGCGTGATAAAAATATCTTCGGAGAATTATGAACCTTTGCAGGCACACCTGGCAGCAGTTAGCCAGCAGCAGGAAGTGGTTCTTCAGCCAGAAGGTATGCAGCCTGCTCCACAACGTACTGGGTCCTTCAGTATTCCCCGCTGTCCTTAAAGTACAAATGCACGTTTCTGTCCAAACATAGTCATACCTTACATACGTTCTGAAATCCTTTCAAGACTTGGATTCAATGTTTATTCTGCTTGCACTAGCCAGGTGTTGTAAATTTTGCAAATTAAAATCATCTTCTGTGTTTATATTGCTACACAGCCACAGAGAACATAGATGGCAGGTCAAAAGACTTGGTTCTCCAACTACATTTCTCTGGCACATTTGATCTGTAACTTTGACCTAGAGCATGGGGTGGGTAGGTCTGCTGTAGAGAAGTCACAGTCACCAAGTGGCTCAAGGGAGATCATGGCCTTGGATGCTTGCTGTGCTTTGCTCCTGGCTTATTGTGATTACCCAGAAGGGGCACCTTATCTTCCGGGCCTTAGAGTAGTGAGTTATGGGATGAAGCCCCCACCACACTACCATTCAGTCATTGGAGCCTGGAGCTCTTCATCTAAGGCAGTGGTTCTCAACCTTCTGGCCCTTTAAATACAGTTCCTCATATTGTGACCCAACCATAAAATTATTTTCGTTGCTACTTCATAACTGTAATGTTGCTACTGTTATGAATCGTAATGTAAATATCTGATATGCAGGATGGTCTTAGGCGACCCCTGTGAAAGGGATCGCAACCCACAAGCTGAGAACCGCTGACTAAGGGCTTTGTGCCTGACCACCTCTGTGGGAAGGAACAAAATGCTGCTGCATCCGTTAGACGATAGAACTGGGATTTGGTATATAAGCCCATTGACCCAGAAGTCCAAGCTCATTCTGACATCTACTGTTACTTTTATTGTTATTTATTAATAATACCATTTGCATGGTGTTTTGTAACTTATGCAGCTACATCCCCTTTTCTATAACACTACGTTTTTAAAATGCCTGTTCCAAGTAAGAAATTGCTGCCACTGATGATGATAATAGCTATCATTTATTTGATACATGCAATGATTCATATAGTTTTCAGAAATGTGCTTCATTTCCATTTTCCCAATAAGGACTCTTTGCCTAGAAGCAGTTATTAAGTAAGAGTAGAGATTCAAACCTAGATACTTCTATTTCAAAGATATTTGTAACATTAAATAATTCATTATTGGAGCCAGTGGTGGTGGTGGTGGTGGAGGTGTGTGTGTGTGTGTATGTGTGTGTGTGTAGGAGGGAGGGGAGGAATGCTGCATAAACTTCATAGTCTCTCGGTACCAGGGGTCCTCAAACTACGGCCCGTGGGCCACATGCAAATACAAATACTGTATTTGTTCCCGTTTTGTTTTTTTACTTCAAAATAATATATGTGCAGTGTGCATAGGAATTTGTTCATAGTTTTTTTTTTAAACTATAGTCCGCCCCTCCAACGGTCTGAGGGACAGTGAACTGGCCCCCTGTTTAAAAAGTTTGAGGACCCCTGCTCTATACAAATTATTTAATTTATAAAAATAAATAATAGAAAAATAGTCTAAGTAGACTAATGAGATATTGGTAGTAGAGCCTATTTTAGCTATAGATATAATAAACATAAGTATTTTAAATTTTCAAGTGTAACTATATGGAAAACTATCATTATTTTATAGTCAGAGCACAAATGCCCAGAGAAGCCAGTATTTATGTTAATATGACCAAGAGTTAAGTGAGGCATAAATTGGTGAGCCAGTTTGTTTTTAGCTATTTAGGAAAGAAGAACCAAATT